ACTAAAAAGAAGACTTTATATTGCTTGTAAGTTTGTAAAACTTTTGTCTATAAATCATTGTTTGTAATAACTGTTTGTAATAAACGTCATTGTAAATTGCATTATTGTTTGCATATTAAAATATATTTGTATTAAAAAACAACTACGTGTATCAATTTTGTTGGTAAATATCACAACTTGGATATATATCAGCATTTAATTAACTACTAAATCTAAATTACAATTTAACTCAGTTTTAGGCTATTTGAAAGTGCAATACGCAACACACTGAACAGATATCCCGAGAAGTGACTAAGTCATCAATGCAGCTGAACTGTGGCATCTATTTACTGCACTGAGGCCGAGGCTCGAAAAGGTCTGTCAGTGAAAATTTGGCAGTTTATGTAAATTAATTATAGTGTTTACACTCCTTGGAATATCTCGAGTCATCTTCTTCCCACGTGGAGGCCAATATAATAACCAAGTCTGCCGAGAGGCTGCCTTGTGAAATGTTAGGGTACGACATGGAAATAAGGTGCATTTCAATCCTGATAGAGGTACTGTCTGAGTCCATTTGCTATGACGTACTCTCACAGGTGACAGTGATGGAGAAACAGACGTCTTTAATTCATGGACAGGAAAACGTTGCTTTTTAACACGAACAAGTCATTTACATCACAACCATTTCGCAGTTTTGGATATGTTATTATGTTATTGACTTTTCTTGGAAAGAAGAACATATCATCAGCCAAGGATATCATTATTTTATCCAATAGCCTGAAACATCTAGATTAATATATTGCAGATTACCGGCACCAACCAGTATAACTATTAACATAACATAAGGCAGTGAATAAAGTGAAGGCATCTAATATGAGAATATTATATATGTCAACCATCCAATTACTAGGCCTAAACCAGAACTTAAGGTAATCGTAAAAATCTTAAGTCACCTTGCATTTGGATGAAACATTAAATTATTAAGTCTATAGCCAACATTTACAACTGACTTCCTCTTTCACCTTTGCCCGAGAAAATGCTAGATGTTGGCCTTAGGCCACTGACAGTGACCTATCAACTTTGACATGCGATAGTGAGAATCTGTGGGAAGCAAATAACATTCTAGTGGATATTGATTATTTCCTGACCTCGTTATATACAGACCTTATTTGGATCAACATAAGCAAACATACTGAGCACTGCAAAATTAGACACAATCGGTTAATGTGAGAGAAAAGCCAACTGAACTTTTGTTGTATACTTCTTGATTTGGAAAACTATTTCCTTTCATGAAAACATCCATGATTAGTCCACCAGTTTAATTGTTTCTATTGAGTTGGAGGTTACTTTGTTCATTTCAACGCAAAAGGATATCTGAGCCCTTTTCTTCCAGGGAAGGAACACTATATTATAGTGTTATAAACACCCAAGCGTATTGCTAAGTCACCTTGGAACATTTGGAGGTTACATTCATGGCTATATATATATATATAGTTTTTTCTTGGTAGGGGGGTAATGCTTATGAAGTCTTCTTCCAGAATTTTCATGTAAAGCTGTTAGATAGTGGAGAAAAAAGAGAACTCCTTTCGTATCCAGCCAGGCATGTCAAAATAAGCTGATCTAAAATAAATAAGTGGATATATGGAAAACTTTTAGCATATTTTCCATTGAATTCACTGTCAACTCTTTGCATTCTAGGAATGTGATATCATCGTTTTAAGGATAATTTATATTTTCAACAGAAGTAAACTTGCGGACTGATGAATATTCAGCTTGAGATGTAAACGTTAAATGCAGTTTTTTCACTACATAAGATTCTAGCAACTGTAGCACTAACTAAATCTTATAATATAAGTTTGTAGGAACACCACCGCAGGTTTTCAGATAATATTTGTGAATTCGCGAAGAGTTTGCTACATCAAGCTTCAGATATTCTTTGATAAGAGCAGAGACGAAACCACAGCTGTATGTTTATAGACTTATAACGCTAGAAACCGGGTTTCGATACCCGTGATGGGCAGAGCACAGATAGTCCATTGTATAGCTTTGTGCTTAACTTCAAATAATCATAAGTGCGGCCGAGTTAGGAAATCTAGCTTTGAAACAGAAAAACAAAACGAAAAACTATTGAAATAAATTTATTTAAACACATATTAAAATCTTCTATAAGCAAAATCGATCATAATACTAACTTTGGTTTTTAACTAAAAAAATTAAGTTCAATAAAATAAAAATAAAACCTACTTAAGATATGCTTATGATACAGAAACGGAAAGAATTGCCCACATTTTTCAGTTTGTAAATAAAATGCATAGAAATATTGTACTTCCACAGTAGGTTTAGTGCATGAACGCCGACAATTTAGATGATAAAGAAACTAATTTTCTGTTTAAAGAAAACAAAAGTGCCTACAAATTAATAAATATTTTAACCAGTTTTGTTCAAGATGTAATTTTTCTTAGTTAAAGACAAGTCTGGAAACCCATAAAACACACCTTCAGTTTAAACCATAAAGAACGTTTAGTAACACATTAGAAAAGTTTGATAAACACATACATATTTAACCAATAAAAATATAATACTATATAAACGAATGGAAAATAACCGAGTTACTTCGTTATCAAAGCCAGCATAAGAAGAAGTATAGCAAATTCTAATTATTTCAAACTACTTAAGAGATTCTAACTACTTGTAAATGTTAATTTTTGAGACAATCAATCTCACTGGGCAACAAATGTGCATTTTATATTCTTGGAGGACCGCATAAGATACCACAGTGTGAGCCAGATAACGCATATGATGAAGAAACTATTACAAAATTAATCTTTCTTATTTTAAATGGTTACTTTTATAACTGATTTCTCTAGGGTTAGTTGGACATGGAAAGAAAATGAAACATTTTAAGGTTTTGAATTCTTTTTGTACAAATGATTCTAACTTTATTTGGATTTCTCTAAATATAACAAGACTAGTATTGGAACTGCTGCCATCTAGTGCTTAAGTAGGTAAAGATTTTGAAATGTTTAAACACATAGTCATATTTGAGATAATAAAACTTGCATTATGTCCGCCTGAGAACTATAGTTCTAAAAGAGAAATTCAAAACTGGGCAAAAAACGAAATACACATTTTTTAGACTGTATTGAAAGTTTAAGCTAGTGTTAAAACCTTTTGTCGTTGTCAGAAAAACTGTAATTAAAGTAATGAATTGCATATCAAGTTATATAAACAAGGAGACACACTAATCAATAGTACCCGGCATGGCTAGGTGGTCGCAGGTTCGAATCCCCGTCCTATCAAACATGCTCACCGTGGGGGCGTTATAATGTGTAGAGTTGGCGGTGGGTGGTGATGACTTAGTTAGAGACGGAAATTCAAAAACAAACAAACACTAATCAATTAAAATCTTAAATTTTATTTTTAATGATGAAATAATTATTTTAGTTAAAGGTTTCTTATTTGATTTTTTAAAGTTATTTTGAATGAAAACTGGAAGAAAGGATTTTTATTATTTTGAACTGTTTTCTGTGTGAAATATTTATGTATTTTAGTTTAGCATAAACAATTTAATTTGAAGTTAGTGAACATTTTTACTGATTTTTAAGTTACAATTACACATTTTAGATTTTAGAAACTATGAAATAATTCCTTAAATATACATTCTTTTAAATTTCTAAATTTAAGCGATTTTTATAAATCTTAAATATGTTTTAAAAAAAAATTCTAAATTGATATAAAATACGACTACTGTATGACTTTTCAATAAAATTCTCTACCGTAATATATTTAGAAAATATTAATTCGAGAAAAAAGTAAAGAAAGTACATACAAATGTTAAAATTTGGTTTGTTATTAAACAGCCCCAATTTGATTTTGTTGGAAATATTTGTGACCAGATGGATGGTGTTGCCATAAATCAACATTTATTCCTAAACTATCAAACTACTTTTATTTTTGCTTCCATGACGAAAACTGGTTTAAAAGTGAATAACATGAATATTTATTATATCCTAGATGATCCCCGTCACACCAAACATGCTCGCCCTTTCAGCCGTAGGGGCGTTAAAATGTGACGGTCAATCCCATTATTCGTTGGTAAAAAAGTAGCCTAAGAGTTGGCGG